GGGCTAAGGGTAGGGGTGTCAGAGCTGCTCCCTAATTCTACCCTTGCAGGCAGCACTGACTATAAGAGGGGGTCAGTCTTGCCTGAGGTTGTCCAGCTCATTCCCCTCAGGGGCTGGTGCAGTGCTCAGCTCGTGCTATATTCAGCAGGACACCACCGCTCGCTGCGGCAGGGATCCTGGCCACATATTGAGCCACCTGGCTGGTGTGGTGCAGTCATTATCAATACCACTGCTTGGAGGGCTGCCCCAATAGGCACTGTGACCTTCTGCAGCTGCCTGTCCCTTGTGTTCCTTTTTGTCACCAAGTCTCTCAGGGTGGCAGAAAGAACACTGGCCAAGTCACTTGCTATGGGTCTTCCTCCTGGTGCTGCCTCATTCCTTGGGTGGGTGGGCCTTCAGATGCTGTGTACTTAACTCCTCAGTTTTCTCATCTGTTCAATGGGGAGAGTGGTCCCTAACTGACACTCCCACAGGGCTTTGGGGAGAAAAGGGGCAGTGTGCACACAAGAGTTCACCAGCTCTCCTCTCTGGCCAACTCCTCCCTGGCCACCTCCTCCCAGCACAAGAGGAGAGGAGGGCTCCCTGGGCAGAGTGCAAGGGGAAGCCCCACATTCAGCTCTCCAGGTAAAAACTTCCACTAGATTTTTATCTCCAGGCTAGCTGTCTCCCCTTCCCTCTCACTCCAGGTGAGCAGAGGCCAAAGGTCAGAGAGAGATGGTGCTGGGAAGAAATCGGTGGCTAATCCCTTGATGCATTTTCAGAGGAAACACCCCTGGAGTGGGCCTGAGGAAGACACTCCTGTGGGGTTCCTCTCCTCCCCCTGACTCTCCTGAGTCCTATCTGGGTGGTCCCAGTAGCCTGAATACCCCTGGGCTGAAGCCTCCTGCTATCCCACATTCTTTAGGCAGGGAGGATACAGCTGCAAACCCAGAATTGCTTTTGGAGGGTGTGGATTCATCCCCTGGACTGTCCCATGGCCATTGGGCTAAGTGCAGACTGATGGCAGAGGCTGGAGTTCCCGATGGGAGGCCCCAGGAAGGCGCAGTGCCTCCCAGGGTGTCAGGGGCTGGGGGCTCCTTCCTGCCATGGCCCTTGAGTCTGGCCACCAGCGCCTCAGGAACGGGTTTGGTCAGATGCAGCCCCAGCAGCTCGTGGCTCCTTGGCAGGCCTGGATCCCAGCAGGCACCCCAGCGGCAGGCGCTTGTCACAGGGGCCCCCGTGCCCTTCCTGCACTGGGGGGGGGCGCTGATGGCAGCTCCGCAGCCCACCACTTCCTCCCACCCCCGGCCCTGGGTCCTCAGCCCTGGGCAGAAGCGCCGAGCTCGCAGGAAGGGCTGAGAGGGCGCATCCTCCAGTCCTGGAGGCCCCGCTGCCCACCCGGTCCTTGCCCGCTGGCAAAGCTGATCACTCAGTGCTCGCCAGGTCCACCAGGGCCACTGGATCCCGGGATCTGCTAAACTCTCAGGGTGCTCAGCTTCCTTAGGTGTTTAGAAAAAACAAACTCAAAACATTGCCTTTAGGAATAAATCGGATTATGGAGGTAATGGCCCAACAGAGTACTCTGTAAACTCTGTCCTGACTCCCACCTTTCCTTCCCTTTCAGATACCAGAATTTGCATCCAGAGCAAACGTCAGTGGGGTCAGAGGCCAGGGCCATGCCTGAGCAGTGCAGGCACGTCCTCGCTCCTGAAGGCCACATGAGAACAAGGACTGTCCCTGTGTTGAGGGAGTGTGACATCACCATTCCAATGAGGGGGAGTGATAGCATAGAAATCATTCTAACAGGCCGGGCGCTGTGGCTCACGCCTGTAATCCTAGCTCTTGGGAGGCCGAGGCGGGCGGATTGCTCAAGGTCAGGAGTTCGAAACCAGCCTGAGCAAGAGCGAGACCCTGTCTCTACTATAAATAGAAAGAAATTAATTGGCCAACTGATATATATATAAAAAAATTAGCCGGGCATGGTGGCGCATGCCTGTAGTCCCAGCTACCCGGGAGGCTGAGGCAGAAGGATCACTCGAGCCCAGGAGTTTGAGGTTGCTGTGAGCTAGGCTGACGCCACGGCACTCACTCTAGCCTGGGCAACAAAGCGAGACTCTGTCTCCAAAAAAAAAAAAAAAAAAAAAAAAAGAAATCATTCTAACAGCATCACACGTACATACTTCTGCCAGCTCCAAGCAGCTCACTTGAGAAAACAATCTTGTTGGTAGTGCTGGCTACCAGGTACTATCTAATGTATCCTGTTTTCCTGCACTGTCCTCTGACACTGCCCTGCCTGTTGCCCACAGCTTTATGGCTAACCTGGCTCAGCCCAACACAAGCTGGAGAAGGCCTTTATAACACGCAGGCGCGTGAGACCAAGCCAGCTGGAAAAGGCACCATGAGCCTGTGTTCCACTCTGGTAAACAGACATGGAAGTCATTTCCCTACTGACACCCAGACACAGCAATCATGTCTAAGAACGGATTCCAGCAGCACAAATTCGACAGGGGTCTCATATGGGGGTTCCTTCCAAAGAGAAAATGGGGAGGGGGGAGGAGGACAGTTGTAGATTAGGTCCCTCTGAGGAGAGTATGTGGGTGGAATTATGTATAAGTAAAGACTTAAATAAACAGAATGCATCACTATGGAAACATTCGGCTTTATCAAAGGCACCCTTAAGAAAAATAATCAAGACTTCAGATTCAACACCACAAGTGCTTATGACCAGAAAAGGCAAAGTGGGTCTTAGATATTCTGCAGCCAAGTAGAAGTTGCCAGAACTCAGGGAAGAAATATTTCCAGCAGGGCAGGGAACCATCATTTGTTGGGACTTTCTCTGAAACCCTCCAACTGGAGCAGTCTGCTCACTGCAGCACCTACTTAACTCTTTTGGGGTTTCAATGACACAATTCAGGAGACAGTTCTAGTTACTGACTAGGTCCAGACAGACATGCCATGCACGAGGGCAGGATCATGTCAGCCACAGAGGCAGCAGGGAGTGGGTGTCACAGGGAAATGGCAGATTTATTAGCTGTGACTCAAACTTATTAGGAAGCATCTATGCCACCTGAGTTGGTGGTTTGGTTATTGAAGGATCAATGAGGATCCTGATTTCAATACTGGGGACACAATTGGATGCTGTGTCACAGTGTTCCAACTTGTGCTTGGAGGCAAGTTGTCCTTGTAAAAAAAAAAAAAAAAAAAGACAGTTTTAGTTGAGCATGATCTGTTTCTTCAGGCTCTCTGCTGACAGGAGTAGTGGTATTGGCAAATATTGTGAAGAAGCCTCATACTGAATTTGGGTGTCATTCAGCGTCTGCAAAAGTACTCACAGATAAGAATGGGGGAGAAGGGACCACAGGGGAAACCTCATTTACTTCTCAAAGTTTCAAAGTGTACCTACTTGGATACAGTGAGGATATTGCCAGGAAGTCACTTGCCAGGAAGGTTGGCCAAGAATTTGTCTAGCACCAGAAATTGCATTCTGTCCCCCCAAAATGAGCTTCCCCAGTTAAATGGCCAATTGCCAGTCTAGTCAGCAGTAGTTTCTGACTAGGGGATGCTAATTGTTGATTAAGAGGAGATGAGATGCAGACACTTGCCCAGATGCACAGGAAAGCCAGGAAACAAACAGGTGGCCTGTGGTCAGCTGTGACCAGCTCTGCAGGAACAAGCCCTGAGTGAGGCTCAGGCTTCCAAGGATGCCCAGCAGACTATTCCACCAAAATTCAGCACAGTAGAGGAAAAAGCACACAGGTTTAGGGACTAGCCTGTGGTTTGAATTCTAGCTTTGCCACTACAAGTTCTGTTAAAGTACTTAACCTCTTGGAGACTCAGTTTTCTAGTGTCTGCGAGAGGAATAGCATCTCTTTCCTGCATGGCTGTGGGGAAAATTAGGAATCATATGTATAAGTTCCAAGGACAGTGCCTGGCAGGCTGCTAAAGCTCAAAAAAAGGGCAGCTAAAAAAACTAAACTTGCTTTTCTTCATGCTATTGCTGTTACATTTGCTTCCTCTGCTTTACATGTAAGCAAAAACACTTCACCCCTAATTCCTAGCTCAGACCTACCATCAGTATAACACAGCAACCGGTTGATGCAGTCACAGCGTATGGCTGTCTTTAGCCATGGTCTGGAACTCCTGTCCGTTATTAAACCCTGCAGTTTTACTCTACAGCAAGTACCTACTTGATGTTTCAGAGGGGACATTATCTCAGTGGTGGAAAAAAATGTCAGTTCTGGCATACAGTATTTACAGCAACAGCAAGAAACAAAACCTAAGATTTGCTGCTTTCAGACCAAGAAACCCAGGTGGCAGCCCACCCTGTCTGTTGTATAGCAGGAATTTGTTTCCCTGACAGACAGGGGTGTGGCAGAGCGAAGAGATCAAACGTACAGCTGACGAAAGGGGAGATCATGACCCTACATTAGGAGGGAGGGATGCTGGAAGACCTGGAACCATCTGCCAGTTCTTTCATTTGTAAGGAATGGAAGAGAAATTTCCTAGTGTCACGCATCAAGCTTATAACCAAAGTTGGCTATACCACCTGGCCAGGTGTTGTTTGCTTTAGTAGAAGAACAGCTGGAATGAAAAAGAGTATTTATTTTATTTTTATGGAGATTTGTACCTCCGTCACCGGAAGGTTTAATGTGATGCTCAAATTTTATAAAGCATTTAGTATTTCTTAGAGAAAGGAGCCTGTTTTTTTTTGTTTTTTTTTTAAATAGGGATAACAATGCAAGGAACCTGAGAGCTCGGGAGAAAACAGAGTGTGGCCAGGCGTGGCAGTACACCTGGGCTGAGTAAGGGCCCGCCCAGCCTTCAGCACTTTACCCTGACATTCAATCCTACAGCATGGGATGGAATCAGGGCAGAAAGCAAGAAGGTGCTGTAAATTTCCCCCACAGGCAGACAGGGGAACTCTAACTCTCTTGCCCTATTTTCATCCATTTAAATTCGTTTTCTTTCTCTCAGGTTTTCCATATCTTGGTTTGGAATGAATCTGGCACACTGTTCCTGAGTCGAGAGGTCAAGAAGACATGTGCTTTGATGATGCAATAAGGGGCAGCACTCTGTTTTGTTTTGGGAACCTCGGTGACATCACAGCCTAACCCTTGTACCTTGGGAACTTGTATGTAAGAGAACACTGAGTCAGAAGAGAGCCTTAGTCATCAGGCCACTGAAACTGAAGGTGAAGAGAACTATTAGGCAATTGAGTGTATTCCCCACAGGACTGCTCCCGCTTCTATCTGGTTGAGGTTTAAATGACTCAGTGATTCTCTAGGGGGATCCAATCTATGTGGAACAGCTGTCATTAGCAGGCCATGTGCTGCCCTTCTGCCTCTATTTCAGCCTGCTACTTATCATGACATCACCCAGTTATTCCTCCCTCTAAGGGTACAGTAGGCTCTCATATTACAAGTAGTCCAGGTGATTGCCTGCAGGTGGCTGGACTCGAGCACCCTGCTTTCATTCTTTATTCAGAGGCCTGTAACCTGTCTGTGTTGCAGGAAGACTGATGGGCAAGGAGACTGTTAAAGCCAGTGTTCCCTGAATATGCAGCTTTCCATTACAACAACACACAAGCCAGCATGAAACCACCTCTGTTTGGGTTTCAGCAGCTGTCTGCCTAGGGAAGGCTCCAGAGTCACTGAGACATATTTATATCTCCACTAAAGTCACATGGACAAACACGAGTAGATTTTCCCCAGAGGCACAAGTCCATTCATACTTCCTCAAATGAAGGGGTAGGGGAAGGCAGGAGAAAAACTGCTTATGGACAAAATCATCCATGAGCACAGCCACATGGATTTTAATTTGCCTAAAGATAAGATGCAATTTTGCAATGTGGTTAGTGATAACCATTCCCAGCATAGACATATTACCAATATGAGCTGCTGGTTCTCATTTAATAAGAGCTGGGAAACAAACCCCACCATCTTCCAAACATCCACACCACGTGATCAGCAGGAACTGGCCTCTTGACGTTTATTCTCAGTCGAAGGGTTGCTCAGTCTCAGTGCGGCTTCTCTCTCAGATCGATCCCGCATCACTGGGCTGCCCCTCTAGGGTCTGGATAAACTGTCCGAAAGGTCAGGTTTACTCTCGGTTCTCTAGAATGGTATTCTTTGGGCACTCGATGCTATAAGGAAATATACATAGCTTTCTGACATAAATACACAGGCATACATTTTAGTTCAAAGCAATTTAAGACTTATTTATAAGAGTATAGAAATATTTCCATTTTATCTCCCTTTAAATGAGCAGTGATAAGTTCTTTACAGTCTTGTGGACAAAGGTCTCCTTCTCTGAAACAAATTCCCACGCCTGCCCCTACTGTGCTATGCCAGCATCCTCGAGATGAGATATTTTCATCTTTTCTAATTGTTGCTCTTCTTCTAAGACCCCTGCCATTTTTTCCAAATATCATAAGAAAAACATAAATAGATGAGACCAAAGAGAGGCATGTGATTCCACTCTCATGCCAAGTGTTTTTACATTAATATGCATACCATAAAAATGATCTGGTCTAAAAATGGCCTGGCCTTGCTGTGCAACTTTTGGTCCAGTGAGACAGTCATTAGTTACTTGAAGCTATTTAGATTTAAATTAGTTAAAATTAAATTAGAAATTCAGTTCTTTATAGCACACTAGCTACCTTTTAAGAAGTAAACAGTCATTCATGGCTAGTGGCTACCACACAGAATACTTCCATCATCACAGAAAGTTCCATCACATACCGCTGCTGCAGAGGTACATTTTGATTGTAAGTATCAAAACTCCTTGGAAATAATGTCACCCTATTGCCTCTTGCTCATTATAAAAGGAACCCACTTTTCACGTTTACTTAGCAACTACTAATCCTCAGCGAGTCAGGAAACTGCCTCCATGTCAGAGTGAATCCATATTACTTGTGTGTTCTCACCTGCCAGTCAGCTTGTGTAGCGCCTTCCATGATTAACAAGGTCCCGTGATCCAAGGGTATCTTCACTCTTTCCACATACGTGTAGTCTCCATTTTCTTCCTAGAAAACAGCATTCACTGCACTGAATTTTTTCCTTGTGTGATCCAGATGCAACAAACCTGACAGCAGTCAAAAAATTGGAAACCTCTACTCCTCAGCCAGTCTGCGGGGGTTCATGTACTGGCTCTGTCATTTGGCAGCTGCTTGGCCGTGGAAAAGTTATCTCACCTCTCTGTACCTTGGTCTACTTATTTGTAAAATGGGGATGATGACAGTATCTGCCACCCAGGGCTACTGTGAGCCTTGACAGAATACGTGGAAGTCACTTGGAGACCAGCACATCATAAGGACGGTGTAGGTGCTGGCTGTTATCACCATCATCTGAAATCCAGAAAAGCCCATTTTGGCCTGTGAAGGAATTAAACATCACATATACAAGAATTCTTTACATCTGCCTATGTTGTGCTCTACATTTCAACATAGTCTGTGGAAAATATGGTTTTTTAACCAAGATTTGATATGATGAATTCTGCTTCTTCTTTTCACAATTTATGCTCTTTTAATAATTGGCACCGATGCTAAAAGTAGGCACAACTCTTCCTATGGCTACTTTGGTGTTTTGGAGATGTCCTCTTGCCTCTTTCTAGAATAGACAACAGCAAGGTTTCCTCAAAGAAGGGAGCTCTGGCTTGACTGGAACAGTGCTGCCAAACTGAGATTGGCTGGTTCATCCTTTAAGGATGGATCACAACTCCTGAACAAATGCCTTGTATTTATATTGCCACTTTCTTCCAGAGAGCTCAGAATCTATTTATGTCCAATATTATCATGAGTCTTCTCAGCATAGTCTATGAAGCAATCCATAGGTGGTATTACTCCTCCTTCACAGCTGACAAAGGGGTACGTTAAACAACTGTCTTGCCCACAGCAACAAAAAGCATGTCAAGGTTGACACTAGGACAGACCTGAGCTTCCATTTCTTCACCTCCATTCAGGCCAGAATTGACCGGCCCCTCCATTCATCTGCTTCACTTCCCATGCAAGGGGTTACATTTGGGTTACTGCAGGATTGATTTCAGTGCAATACTGTGTTTATGTTTATTATTGTAGGGGTGCTTCTGAGAACTTAACTGTTTACAATGACTTTCCCCAGGAAAATCAAAATCAAAACAATAATGAACTTGCATAAACAGTCTAAGTTCCAGGCCCCAACCCTTGGCAGTGACTTTGTCAAGCACAGTAATAATTTTTATAGGCAGAAGACAGAAGCAACATTTGAAATAACTTTTGGCTTCAGTGATTGATTTTAATTGTGTCTGCCACCTTTTCTCTTACAATAATAAGCAGGTACCAAAACATTTACATCTGACTCCTCAGCCAACCAGAGAACAGCGGGAGGGTGACCCTGCCCTCAGGGTAGCCCAGCTCCATCTCAGAAAAGCAAAAGACTATGCTCTGGAAAAAAAATATGCCAGCCACAGGAGATATATGTCCTACTGGAGAAAAGACATCAGAAGGGAGAGCATTGTATTATCCGTGCGATTAGAGAGTCCAGGGCTTCTTAATTTAGGTTGTAAAGTCAATTACCAGATCTAGGTTTAACACAGCTAGAAGCAAAAGAATTTCTGCTACCTTCTACATAATTAGGCAGTGCAGGAAGGCCTTAATCCATAATTCAAGTACAGACACTAGGACAGGAGAGTGGAATGAAGCATAGAAGAAAGACTTAACCACATGATGACGATCTCTTAGAATATTAAAAACACTATTGGGAAGGAGGGGGTGCTAACCCCAATGGAAGAGAAGAGGTGAGCACTGTACTTCCTGGAAATTTGAAGAAGGAGTATCCCTCGCAAGTGAAAAACAATTCCAAATGCAGGAGAAAAGTATCAGCATTGATGGAGAGTGATGTTCAACAGATCCACATTTCACTTAATGTTCCCAAGATCTGAAATTTTCAAATGACAGAAAGCCTCAGGTTGGTTTGAATACATTACGCCCAATATAATGATTAGTCATACCAAAAAGTAGAAGAGAATGAGGCTTCATTTGAGAGGGAGCCACTTGAATCAGTCCACAAAGGAGACAGTGATACACAGTCCACCCACTGTGAGAGGCGATGTCATTAATTTGCTGCTTGTTTATTCCTTCCGACACCCTTGGCTTAGGAAGTACATTCCTAATTTGCAGAAGGAGGTGGACAGGAAAGAGGACAAGGGATCCTACCAACACAACAGACCTCACAAATGCATCGTTCTCTTGGGGCCAGTGACCACAGACCACGGTGCCACCCTTTAACTCAGCCAAGGTGCATGGAGACCTTTTCCACTTAGGAAGCAGATAAAGGTCAGAGGAGTTCACGTGGCTATGCACAAAGGCTCAAGTTGATAAATGGGTAAGCAGCAGTGGAACCACGGGTCAGACTGTTTAGAGGAGTGCCTTTGCAGTCATTAAGCATGGCTAAGTTACCAAAACAAGTCTCTGTAGACCTGATTTACTCAGGACTTTGTTCAAAACAAAACAAAACACACCCCCAGAAAACCATGGCTTAGGATAAAATTTTCCATCCCTGATCCTGGTTAGAAGAAGCTTTTAGGGTCACAATGAATCTACAGGGCAGGTTTTGGTGTTGGTTTTCTATACATTGAAACCCTACAAGTACATGAAAAAAGTGTGTGTATATACATATATTTTTACATTAATGTTGATCAACATTCTCCCTCTCTCTCCAACCATGGTCAGTTCATTTGAATGTTTAGTTCTGCTTTTCTAAGGTTTGCCACAACTCTTACCTCCACCTCACCAAGATATTAACTTTCTCAGTTTCCTTTAGAAAAATGCTATTTAGGAAAAAAATTGGGGTGTATTTTTTGTTATGTCATTACTACCCATCCAACAGACAGGAAACTGAAACATTTTTCTTTTCATTGGAAGGGTAATTCATATTGTATGAGATGTGGATTTTTCTTATAATCATCCCCTTCTTGTCCTAAAAGGGTATCTTGGAAATTACAAACAATCATTGATTGCTTTAAAATCATCAGCGTCATAGTTTTTCTTTCTAGAATATAAAAGTAACAAGTTCACTAAAGTAAATGATGCATTTGTCTGTAATTACTTATTCAATGTCTGCCTTACTACTCTCTTAGAAACTCCATGAGGGAAGGCCTATGTGGCCAGGCTCCTAAGAAACACACATACTGCCCATCGCACATATCAAGAAATATGTGCAGAATGACTGAGGAAAAGTCCCCAGAAAATATAAAAAAATCACCTTTAATCCAGCATTCACACAAGACATACATGTGAAATATTCTATGTTCCATATTGTAGGGTATGATTGTGTACTCTACATTTTTAATGTTATATTGTGAGCATTTTTCTACATATTTAAATATATAATCGTTCAAAAATATGGTTATGTAATATTCCTTCATATGAACATATCCTTCCTTCTTTAAACTCATAAATACTTTTTGACCACCTGTGTGTGTCAGGCCTTGTGCTAGTGCAAGGATACAGCAGTAAGGAAAACATTGTTGGAGACTGAAATTTTTTTTTTTTTTTGAGACTGAAATTTTAATATAGTAGTAGTATTTTTAAAAAAAACAATAGAAAATAAAGAAAAAGCTACTGCAAGTAGATTTAGGGGCAAAACATTTCTGACTATATTTCTAGAATATATATGTGTTCTAGAAAATTACATAGATATTTATTTTTAGACAGGGTCTCACTCTGTTGCCTGGGCTAGAGTGTAGTGGTGTAATATTAGCTCACTGCAACCTCAAACTCCTGGGCTCAAGCAATTCTCTTGCCTCGGTCTCCAAAGTAGCTGGGACTACGGGCATGTACCACCACACCCAGTTAATTTTTCTATTTTTTGTGAAGATGGGGTCTTGCTCTTGCTCAGGCTGGTCTTGAACTCTTGGTCTCAAGCAATACTCCCACCTTGGCTTCCCAAAGTACTAGGCATGAGCCACCACGCCCAGTCTCTAGAATACATTCTTAAAAGATGAAATTACTGGAGCCAAGGGTACAAACGCTAAGGCACTTGATTTACACGGTCAAATTGCTTTCTTGGGAAGGCTACAGCAATTTATAATTCCATCGGTAAACAATGACAGTACCTATCTTCTGTCTGACAAAGATGAAAAAAATTAGGGGAGAAATGGCAACTC